CCTATTCATCTTTATGTTTTTTTAAACTCTGAAATCTTAAGTTAAATAGCAACACATGTTAACTCTTTTATTCCTGAGCATTTTAGCAGAAATATGCAACTTATGTCACACCTTTGCCCGGCTGCCACAAGCTCCAGCTACCCCCATGATGATTTTTATGATTCAGTTAAACATTGTCAGTACGATCACCAGCCACAGATTGAAAATGTTGGGACACTACATGTTAATCTGAAATTAATATAAAAATAAATGGAATGGGGCTAGTGTACTGACTGTATTATTCATTTGCATAGCTAGCTCATTAAAACCTCAATTTTCTAATTGTAAATGAAGCTGCCACGGCCACAGCACAGTGCCACAGAATTCAAACACTTAGCTACAGAATTTGTGTGCCCTTTGCCTCAGAGTTCCCAGGCTTTGCTCGAAACATATCAGCTTTTTATCTTTAACATTTTCTCCCTCCTCTCTATGCCATTGTTTGGAACCTAATTTATTTCACTGGTATGGGTAGTTGCGCTAGAAAATAAGAATAGCCTTAACACATGGCAGGTTTCTTGTTCTCTCTGTAAGCCTGATGCACAGCATATCATATCAGTTGCTTCATTGCCCTGTTTCTGGAACTTCTCTTAGATACCATATGTACCAAAATGCCTGCCATGCTACATCATGATAGCGGCACCATGGATACTGATGCTGAATGGCTGACACATGTGGATTCCTCAGATTGTTGTATTTCAGATGTAAAACTAAATGGAGGTTGAGATTCAAAATAACTGTACTTGTTTTTGTAACAAAAATTAAAAAAACAGTTCACTCATATATCAAAATTACGGTAGATCAAGAGAATCTACTTTATTTTAATACTTGAACTGCTCAGAATGACTGACTTGGACATGTTTTTTGAATGCTTTAGGCTCTGATTCAAGAAATCATTAAACATAGAATCATGGAGTCATAGAAGATTATGGTTGGAAGAGACCTCAGGAGGTCATGTAGTCCAACCCTCTGCTGAAAGCAGGACCAACCCCAACTAAATCATCCCAGCCAGGGCTTTGTCAAGCTGGGCCTTAAAAATCTCTAGGGATGGAGATTCCACCACCTCCCTAGTTAACCCGTTCCAGTGCTTCACCATGCTCTTAGTGAAATAGTTTTTCCTAATATCTAACCTAGACCTCCCCCACTGCAACTTGAGACCATTACTCCTTGTTGTCATCAGCTACCACTGAGAACAGTCTAGATCCATCCTCTTTGGAACCCCCTTTCAGGTATTTGAAAGCAGCTATCAAATCCTCCCTCATTCTTCTCTTCTGCAGACTAAACAATCCCAGTTCCCTCAGCCTCTCCTCGTAAATCATGTGCCCCAGCCCCCTAATCATTTTCATTGCCCTCTGCTGGACTCTCTCCAATTCATCCACATCCTTTCTGTAGTAGTGGGCCCAAAACTGGATGCAGTATTCCAGATGTGGCCTCACCACTGCTGAATAGAGGGGAATGGTCACAACCCTCAATCTGCTGGCAATGCTCCTACTAATGCAGCCCAATATGGCGTTAGCCTTCTTGACAACAAGGGCACACTGTTGACTCATATCCAGCTTCTCATCCACTGTAATCTTCAGGCCCTTTTCTGCAGCCAGTCGATCCCCAACCTGTTAGCACTGCATAGGATTCTTCCATTCTAAGTTCAGGACTCTGCACTTCTCCTTGTTGAACCTCATCAGATTTCTTTTGGCTCAATCCTCCAATTTTTCTAGGTCACTCTGGACCGTATCCCTACCCTCCAGTATATCTACCCCCGCCCCCAGTTTAGTGTCATCCATGAACTTGCTGAGGGTACAATTAATCCCATCATCCAGATCATTAATGAAGATGTTGAACAAAACCGGCCTCAGGACCGACTCCTGGGGCACACCAATTGATACTGGCTGCCAACTAGATATTGAGTCATTGATCACTACCCGTTGCGCCTGACGATCTAGCCAGCTTTCTATTCACCTTATAGTCCATTCATCCAATCCATACTTCTTTAACTTACTGGCAAGAATACTGTAGGAGACTGTATCAAAAGCTTTGCTCAACTCAAGGTATATCACATCCACCACTTTCTCCATATCCACAGAGCCAGTTATCTCATCATAGAAGGCAATCAGGTTGGTTAGGTATGACTTGCCCTTGGTGAATCCATGTTGACTGTTCCTGATCACCTTCCTCTCCTCCAAGTGCTTCAAAATGGATTCCTTGAAGACCTGTTCCATGATTTTTTGCAGGGCAGATGTGAGGCTGACCAGTCTGTAGTTCCCCGAATTCTCCTTCTTCCGTTTTTTAAAGATGGGCACTATACTTGTCTTTTTCCAATCATCCGGGACCTCCCCTGGTTGCCACGAGTTTTCAAAGATAATGGCCAATGGCTCTGCAATCACATCAGCCAACTCCCTCAGCACCATCGGATGCATTGCATCTGGCCCCGTGGACTTGTGCATGTTCAGCTTTTCTAAATAGTTCTTAACCTGCTCTTTCAACACTGAGGTCTGCTCACCTCCTCCCCATATTGTGCTGCCCAGTGCAGCCGTCTGGGAGCTGACCTTGTCTGTGATGACCGAGGCAAAAAAAGCATTGTCTACTTAAGCTTTTTCACATCATCTGTCACTAGGTTGCCTCCCCCATTCAGTAAGGGTCCCATGCTTTCCTTGACCTTCTTCTTGTTGCTAATATACCTGTAGAAACCCTTCTTGTTATCTTTCACTTCCCTTGCTAGTTGCAACTCCATTTGTGCCTTGGCCTTTCTGATTACATCCCTGCATGCTTGAGCAATATTTTTATACTCCTCCCTAGTCATCTGCCCAAGTTTCAACTTCTTGTAAGCTTCCTTTTTTGTGTTTAAGCTCACAGAAGATTTCACTGTTAAGCCATATTTTCTATTCTTTCTCCACATCAGAGTCATTTGTTCCTACACCCTCAATAAGGCTTCTTTAAAATACAGCCAGCTCTCCTCAACTCCTTTCCCCCCCTCATATTAACCTCCTAGAGGATACTGCCCATCAGTTCCCTGAGAAGTCAAAGTCTGCTTTTCTGAAGTCTAGCGTCCTTATTCTGCTGCTCTCCTTTCTTCCTTGTGTCAGGATCCTGAACTTGACCATCTCATTGTCACTGCTGCCCAGGTTGCCACACACTTCTACTTCCCCTACCAATTCTTTAAATGCATAACTTAAAGCACATGTCTAAGCCCATCCCTATTCAGCAAAACAGTGAACTTCCACATGGAGTTTAGAAAAGTTCATCTCCTTTTGAACACAATAGGCCAAATTCTTCTCTTATTTATGCAGGTATATACACTGTTTCAGGTTGGACTGTAAAATTAATGTAAACACCGTTGACTTTGATGGACTTACTTTGGATATATATATCAGTGTAACTGAGAGGAGAGATTGGCCTACAATGTATGCAGGTTAGCAGATTTATGTTTTGGTTCTGATTTGGCTAATAACTCCCATAAATACCGTTCCTCCAAGTGTGTATAAAGACGTTTTGCAGATATCAGCAGGTTATTGTCGCAGGGCATTTCAGATGTTAACAATTGTTTCCAGTATCTGTACAATCATACCAATTTTCTGTAAGTATTTTATAGTCTCATGAATATAGTTTGAAAGTGTAGCTGATTAACCAAACTGCAGACTTAGCAAGGCTTCAGTCCCTTCATTGTTGTCTAGAAATGAATGCTTCTGTAATGTAGAAGGCAGCTCGGTAGCTAGGCACTCAGTGCATCCTGACTCTATCCGGCTCAGACCTTCATGGTAGCCAGAGACATTACATTGTAGAGTATGGGCATATCACTGATATTAATTCACTTCTTTCTTTCAGGGACTTCTTTTGCAGCAGGATGTAATATCAACATCAGTAAAATTTGTCCTCTAGTTTCATGGAGGCTACTATCCAAATCATATACTTGTGTTCTGGAAAAGATTATTGGGTCTGGAATATTGAGAGCTGTGTGTTTCTTATTGACTTCTAATATAGTATTGTCTGCGAAAAATATATTTATATAGTGGATATTAATGAGGCAAAACCAAGTGAAGCAACTTTTGCATAGACTGATAAATAGTCTAGATCAAATGTTCTCTGGGCTACATCCAGATGCAATATGCTACAATGCAGACAATACAGTGTGATGCTGATTTGCGGCAGTGCACTGTATCCAAACTGCTTCTGCATTTGGACCATCCCATTGGTCAGTATCTTCCTAACACTGTCTCAAAATTCTGTCCAATTGTTGTAGTCTTTTAAATGATAATTTCTAGTGAGTAGCTCCTGCCAAATGTGTGGCCCTAGACAGTGTAGTAAAAAGGAAATGATAAAGTGATATTATATGGATGGTAAATACTCATAACACAAAATGAAGGAGTCACACACATTAAAAACATTGGGCAAAATTCTGGCCCTGGGAAATCACAGGGATTTCATCCGTAGAGAGGGATTTTCAAAAATAGTCATCACTGGCCATCAGCTTTAGTAGGAGCAGAGTTAGTCCAATGCCGGGCATTTTTGAAAATCCCCTTCAGAGAGTACATCTCATTTGTCTTTATACGTTTCAATAAGTGTTCATTAAAACCACATGGTAAAGTTTTGTTTTTTGTTTTGTACTCTCACTCCATTTTGGTTAAGCAGCACTGGCTTCTCCTGTTGAATTTTTGCTCTTTCCCTTGGCAGTTGCCTGTTGTTTTATAACTACTAAATTAATGCACTGATGGAAAATAACTTTAGCTTTAATTGGCAGCCTTAGAATCAATCAAAATATCTTGGATTAGACCAAGGGACATACTGCAAATAGTGGAAAGCTAAATGCTAAAGATCAGTAGTTTTCAGTGATCTGCCAGTCAAAAATGCTGCCTGGATACCAGTGGCAGAGTTCTTTATATATATCTATACTGACATTTGTAAATGCAAGAGCTTTGCTGCACCATCTATTTAATTAGTAATTAAATTTCAAAATAACTTTCTCTTTCTAGGAGCTGGATTTTGAAGCTAAAACAAGCTATACACTGAGGATAGAAGCAGCAAATAAGCATGTTGACTCTCGCTTTCAAAGTCTGGGGCCCTTTAGCGATATGACAACAGTGAAGATAATTGTGGAGGATGTGGATGAGCCTCCTGTATTCACTTCCCATTTGTATTCCATGGTAGTGTCTGAAGCAGCAAAGGTTGGCACCATCATTGGAACAGTTGCAGCCCATGACCCTGATATCTTGAACAGCCCTGTTAGGTAATTATGAGGCTTTGTTTATGTATGTACATACGTACGTATGCATGTTGTCCTTTGAAGTCATTTTGTCCAGTGTATTTCAGGATTATTAATTTATACCGGAAGGGATTATTTAGTTTTTTCAGCATATGTCCGTGCTGTTTAAAAAGTTTGTTTATTTTGACTCCAGTGTTGCAGTAGCTTTGATAAACAATTTATTTAAATCTCTTTAAAGATAGATATAGATATAGATATAGATAATATATTCAGGTTTCTGAAACAAAAAAAATCACTTGATTATCCAAGTTCAGCAGCGGTCAGGAAGAATCCACAAACCATAGTTTATGTCCCTATTAAATCATTTATGCCAAACCTATTATAGAGAAAACTATGTACAAAAAAGAAGTGATGCATTTTCTGGATGCATTGACAATGTGTATGTTGTAGAATTTGTATTCAAAAGAAGAACAAACTGGAGTTTCATTTGTTTAGCAAATTATATTTTTATAGTTATTTGTTTGAAAGATATGTGTTTGCATTATTTCAGCTTTATTATTCAGCTGCTTCAGGCTCACTCTTTCTATTACAATATAATGATTAATTACTTATATATTTAATGTATACAGTCCACGCTTTGTATAATTACCAGACAAAAATGATTTTTAAGATAAAGGTTATAAATATATAAAGAGTGGGATTTTCAAAAGAACTTAGGAGCATGAGTCCTATTGATTTTCAGCCTTAGGTGCTTCTGAAATTCCTACCAGTAGCCCTAAGTGAAAAGACCTTATAACTAGGCCCTACAGTAATATATATGAGTAACAGTAAAAACAAAAACATTTTAATATTATAGTGCAGAAACTTGGACCTGAGGTTCCACAGTGCAAATTGTCCATATATCACCGAAATGGACAGAGTCAAGAAATATATTTGATGGCATACGGATGATGAAGACTCAGCAGGGGTTACAATAAGTATAAATGGTGTTCTAAACAGGATAGAGGGGATGGCTCAGATACGTTGGCTGTGTGCCTTTTACTGGTCCCACTGAGGTAAAATATCTGCCATCACCACAGGGAAAGATGTGGTCACATTTCCCTCCTACGAGGGAGGGAATGAAAAATCTGTTTCAGGTATTTCCCTCCTTCTCTCTGCATGTTTAGATGGATAATCTGCCACAATATCATGCTTGGAATCCACATATTATGAACATATGACAAGGAGCCACATATAGAGAGTGAATTTTATGTTTGTGGTTGTGTGGGGGGAGAGGAACAGTGACAGAAAAAGAATTACAGTGATCTGGCTGTGTTTTAACTTATGTGATCACTTTCTAAGTACTGTATAGGTGTTAATACTAGATGTCACAATGCTATCCACACGATAGGAACAGTATAACTAAAAGTTTTATGTAATATTTCTGTCCCACTTAAATTCTAACCTATTTGAGACCTGTGGAAAATAGGGAAATGTGTTTAAGAGAAAGTTGCTGTTAAGTGTTATTATTGTTAATATTATTCATTTGGCATACACACTGAAAACTTTATATGGTACTAATTAATTATTTCACCTTTTCTGCTGTTATCTATTTTTTATTTACACTTATTAAAGGTGATTTTATCACTGTGTTGTGGCTCTGTACTTTACAATGCAGCAACCCTAACGTAAAAATAAAGCATGTATCTCACATGAAGAGGTGATGTGTTCTCTCTCTCTTTCTCAATATATATTAGCAACAGATTCAAAATAAATGTACAAACAAGTACTAAATGGATGAGTTGGCATGGACTTACTTCTGAAATTTATCTTCACTAAGCTCTCTCTGCCACGGCAATGTTTTCTGGCAGTGTTGTTAGCATCTGGTTTATAAAATTTGGTTTTAGCAGAACTGCAAGGGTTAGTGTTAGTTCCAACTTCCATCTATATGCAATCCATCCTGACTGCTCTCTTTTTTCCTGTAAAAGGGTGAGAGTCAAATTTTTAATCTCACTTTTGTCAATTTGCACCACTCCAGCAGCACAAAGCAGCCATAAAACTAGGTTAATTGGCATCTTGATGATTTCTCTGGGCTGAAGGGCATCCCAAGGTTGTGTAGGACTCAGGGGTAGAGCAGGCCAAAATTTTTAAACAAAACTTTTTTCTGCCAAAAATGTAGATTCAGCTACATCAGAATGGTTCACTAATTTGTTTCAGTTTCACCTGATTGTGTAAAAAACAAACAAAAAAAACCTTTCCTTGAAACGTTTTGTTTCAACATTTACAAAACATTTTTTGATTTTTTGATTCAAAATGAGTTTTCCTCTTGAAATTTCCTTTAGTTTTATTAATTAAATAAAAATGTTTAAATACTGCTCAAAATGGAAATGAAATTTTATTTTTTGATTTTTCAATTGTTTGAAAATTTCAAAAAATGATTGTCTTTGAGTTGTCCCAAAACAGTTTTTCAGAATTACAAGTGAACCAAAAAATCTGTTATTTGCACAGCTCCACATAGGGGGTGTGATTGGAGAAAGAAACCACAGAAATAGACAGGATGTGCCAATGCCATCATAATCCCTGGGTGCCGAAATCATGCCGTGAGAAACCATTGATATAAATTAGAGCTGTCCTGAATCTGCTATAATTTACATAAAGGTTCAGACTCACCAGGATTGGAAGAGCATAAAAGAGTCTTTTACATATATATAGAATACATATATAATATATATAATATAATATATTACTTTTCTTGATCCATTTAGGAAGTTTAGATGATTATTTCAACAATATATGTTCGAAGAAGGAAAATGGATATTGACAAAAGAACTGAATTTATACATGTCTTGAAATATTGGGTGGGATATTGTGATTATAAGATTAGACACTTCTAAACCTTGACATCAAAGAAAAGTAGAGGGTGTGGTAAGAAAAGCAGGGGTTATCTCAAAAGGTACTGAGAATTATTGAGGTTTGAAATAGCTTTGGCAAAAGACCTGCCAAACTAATTTTCAAATACAACTGAGAGTAAGGAATTAAAAGATTAAATCACGTTGAAATAGATTTTTAGAATCTGAGTATGGATGCAGTACTTGTAAGTAAGTATTAGGGGAAATCTCTTTTTCAGAAACATTCATTTTTTTTTCTTCTTCTAGCCATATGTGTTGCAATTTATGTAATCTGTTGTTTTTAAACCAGTAAATCTTTGGCTCATCAGATTGCACAGTGATAGCGTTAATAACTGGAAAGCCTGATGTTTGGCAAGGGACTGAATCCCTACTGCTGGGCAAGACTGACTGCATTGCAAAGGTGACAGGTACAGCATAGTCTCTAGGGATAACATGCCAGCCATGAAACAGTTGATGAGCATTGCTGACCAAATACACAGCAGTTCTGGCATGGAGAAAAGGAAACATTGAAATAGAAAAGACAAGAAATACAATAAAATAAAAAGGAGTGTTTGCTGATGAGAAAGGGAAAGTTCTAAATGTTGAATGCCAAAAAGTTTTTTCATTAGCGCTTCTGTTGCTATAGAACCCTCAGCACATAATATTCTACAGTAAAGCAACACCAAGTGTATAACAAGTTTCTGCTCCAGACAACTTGCAGTCTAAAGGGACAGATGAAAGCAATGTAGTACAGCACAGAACAAACTGGCATAGTACAATATAGTACAAATGCACAATGGTATATGGTCATTATATCTGGGAAGTGATCTCGTTGGGATATCTACTGTAATTCGACCGTTCCACATTTTTACAAGGTTTGATCAGTAATATACCACAAGTGAAGTAGTTGCATTGTTATGACAGTAATTATAATGTTTGGCCAGATGATGATTCTTTAACTCACGCTGAGTAGTAAATAAGCATGGTATGTCAAGAAGTCATTGTTAGTAAACCTAAAACTGCATAATCCCATCTCCCATTTTCACACAGGAAAAGTAAACAATGGACAGGGTTCTCCCTTCCCTCTGTGTTTTCTGCTTGTTTTCTGTCTCCCCCTTCCTAGCAAACAATATGTTAAGCCAAGAAACTCAATGTGTTTGTCTAATGACAATAAAGCACCAGGAGCTGGCAGGCGAATATGTAATCCCCTGACCTCCTCCAAGTATTTTTTTCCCCAGACCCATAGCACAGGGTAAGACAGGAGCTCTTCCATGAGTGACAGAAGTTCTGTTTCTGTCAGTGCCAGCTCTGCTGGGAGCTGCATGAATTTGATACAGCCCTGTAGCAAGCTTCCAGTTGTGATTCATATTAGGTTTGGGTTCAGGAGTATGCTATTCCATGAATAAATGAATGGCTACCTTAAGGAGGAAAGTAAGAAAAGATAAGGAAATACCTGTAACCTCACTGAAGAAGGCATTATGTACGGGAACAGAGCCAGCATCTCTCAGCACTGTTCACTTTGTAGCCTCAAGAGGCTGCATATACAGTTTTGCTTCTTCCAGGAAACCTGAGCAATACTGAAGAAAAAGAGTCAAAAAAGGGGGAAACAATGAGTGCTCTTTCTATCGAATGAGAAATTAGTGAAACGTTTTGATAAACTATAGCTGAACATAGATCAGAAGTTTTCTTTAACCTTTCACCTAGGTACTCAATCGACCGAAACACAGACCTGGAGAGATATTTCAATATTGATGCCAACAGTGGAGTCATTACAACTGCCAAGTCTTTGGATAGAGAAACGAATGCTGTTCATAACATCACTGTCTTGGCTATGGAGAGTCGTAAGTTACAATTTAAAGGTTTTATACACAGAATGAACAAAAGATTCAGGTTCAATTATAATAATTGCTTGATGGCATTGAATAAAAATATGAAAATGTAGACCTATATATCCGATCTCACTATAGATAATGTGATGAGGACTGTGTTGTAAATAATAGATAGATAGATAGATAGATAGATAGATAGAACCTACCTACCTACCTACCTAACACCTCCTCTGCCTCACACCTTGTGCAGTCATTTAGACCTATCTCATTGCAGACAGGTATTTTATTCATTAAGACACATGTCCTCTGAACTCTGTGATTATCAGTTTACTGTGCAATACCCCTTTTACCACAGATTGGCAATTGTCTTGCACACCAGTAGAAAGCATAGGTCCATACTGCTAAAATCCATGATTGCTTCAATTTGGGGATGTAATTCAGGTTTGAGAGGAATTACACCATGTCTGCAAATAAAGGTGCTAGATTCCTAGAACTAGATTCACTCTTAATAGTAAGGGAATTGCAGGGAGATTGACTTGGGTGGGTAGATGGTACTTCTCTTATGCTACCCACAGTTACAGGGAAGCCATAAATTATGTCATAGGCTTCCCTGAATTACTGAGGGGAATTAACTGAATAAATGCATCTCATATCCATTCTAACCATGCCCCATCCTAGATGAATGGTACTATGCTGACTGGCTGTGAGCCCACTCGAGGTGGCTGGGTTTTTATGTCACCTCATTCCCATCCCCCCAGGGACTTTTTGCTCCTGAGGTTTATCCATTGGAATTTGAATTTTACCCCTGTGGTGAAATACGGTCCCACTGAAGTAAGTGGCAAAACTCCCATTGTCTGAAAAAAGGCCAGGATTTCTATCCTAGAGTTTATTTTTCATTATGTTTCTAGGGGGTATTTTAATTCATTTTGACAGGTGTGTGCACAAGACAAAATGCAAATGAAAGGCATATTGATCCAAAAAATAACTTGTAAAGAGTCTTTGTTTGTTTATGTGTTTGTTTGTTTTGCACAGAGAACCCAGCACAGATTGGGAGAGGATATGTGGCCATCACTATCCTTGACATCAACGACAATGCCCCCGAGTTTGCCATGGAGTACGAGACAACAGTCTGTGAAAATGCTCAGCCTGGCCAGGTGCAGATCAATATTTCCAGATGTTTATTCACATTAGTTAGGCAGTAATTTCTTTTGAAAAGATGCCAGCTTTAAGATAAAAGACAGTCAGCTTATTGCAATACAAATGACACTTTGCAATGACTGCGCAGCATAAACAAATATTAAGCAAAGTCTAAAAACTCCACCATACTGGCTATGGTGAAAGAGCTGCAGAAATAAAAATTAGATGGGCACAAGCCGTGTAAAACTCCAGATGTCCTTGCATAGCAAAATGATGCTTTTGTTTGCTTGATTCTGTACAGGGATGAGCACCCTTAATTCCCACTGATCTCACTGGCAGTAAGAGTGCTCAGCACTTCACTTCCTATATCCTCTAGCACTCCTAAAACTTAAATGTGGGTGACATAAGTTTGGCTGAATTAGGAAAAAGGGGTCTAAGGGGCACAATATCCCCTGTGACAGTTCTCTTGTATTAGAAATTGTACAAGGTTGCCCTCACAAGGTCTGACTTTCAGAGGCTCCGAGCACCCCCTCCTTGCACACACTGACTTCAACTGGAGTTGTTTGTCCTTGGTACCTCTGAAAATCAGACCCAAAGAGATCCATTCACATTGCTCCAACCCCTCACCCCCTAGAAACCTGGAGGCCATTTTATTCCTGAAATTCACAGCATCCATGTACCATCCTGGATGCAATGGCCCTCTGCATGGAGGATTTCCACTTCTGTGTTATCTCCCAGAGTCTCAGTCTTCCTCCTCTTTCATAAAAGACATCACTGTTCTGTCCATTTTTCAAAATTACAACAAAATTTAAAACTACAACAGAAATTAACATGATTAGCCTCATTTGCTCAAAAGAAACCTAGAACTGGACCAGCAGGAGTCTTGTAAGCCATAAAAAATTAAGATGGACTGACCAAATTGCATATGAGTATCTACCCACACTGTCCCTGGCTCTAATCAGTTATTCCAGATACTCATGACCACATACTCACAATTTATAAATATCAAAGACATGAGTCTAGTCCAGTGGTGGGCAACCTGCGTGACGCATGCGGCCCATCAGGGTAATCTGATTGCGGACCGCGAGACATTTTGCTGACTTTGACCATCCACAGGCACAGCCCCCCGCAGCTCCCAGTGGCCGCAGTTGACCGTTCCTGGCCAATGGGCCCTGCATTGGATGGTTAACGTCAGCAAAATGTCTTGCTGCCCGCAATCAGATTACGCTGATGGGTCGCAGGTTGCCCATCACTGGTCTAGTCTGTTATATTTCGTATGGTTTGTCATGTTTCAGAAAATGTTGATTAAATTAATATTCAATTCTGTTTTACTCATCCTTAATTAACTCTAAAATCTGGGCTTTACATTTACACCTGTGGTTTGCAGACACAGTCTGGCATTAATTGCACCCACTAATAACTGTGAGAGGCTTGTCTCTCTCTCTCTGGTGCTAGATTATATCCACTGTTATTTTCACACATAAGGTATCCCCTTTCCAACACTATAAAACTCTCATTCCTATCCTTAATGAGTGGTGATATATTAGATCTTAACCTGTCACTGGATGAATATTGGCTACATAGTGCCTCGAGCCAGTGCAGTTTGGGGTAGAGGAAGGAAAGGGAAAGTATTTATCTTCACCGTTTTCAGTGGGGAGATGGGAGATGAAAGTTAACGGTGTCTAAAATTGCTTACAAGGTTGAAATGTTAGAACAAGGTGTTGGGGGCAGAATGCAAGTCAGATGGCTGAAGGTGCATGATAAATGAGATTTACCACTTGACCATGAGCGCTGTGTGTATAGGGCATGCGTGTATATACTGCTTTGTATTATATAAAATATAAAACTCAATATAACTTCAACCGAACCCTCTCTTTTCAGGTAATCCAGAAAATCAGTGCTGTTGATAAAGATGACCCACCCAGTGGTCACCAGTTCTACTTCAGTTTGACAGCAGAAGCAGCAAATAACCACAACTTTTCTCTGCAAGACAACAAAGGTAAAAATATAAATGTTGTTGGGTGCCTTAGGGGAGCACTGACTTAGGTGCCTTAGGTAACCACCACTCTTTTTTCAGACACATAGTGATCATCATTGGGGTGCACTTCCCTGCCAGGGAGGGCATTAATTAAAGAGCAGTCTGCCCCCTAAGTAACTTTTATCTAGAGATTATCTGTCAAGAGGAAGAAACTGTTGTTTAAATCATTTTGAGCCTTGAGCTAAACAGTGGGGCTTCAAATCTTTTCTTTTCCCCCAAGTGCCTTTTCCCTCTTTTTTCCCTATATTTTTATATCTTTATCCAAATTAGATTTTACCTTGAGGGCAGTGACTGAAAAATGTCCTGGGCCTCATGTTTTATTAATATAATTCAGGGCATAAAGAAATGAGCCCCAAAGGCATGGCAAAATGAGAATTCCTTTGGTGAAACCCCCCCAAACACCTTTTCAGCAACTGAATGTTGTTTTTGGAGGTGAAGGCTGAGTGCTCATTTTTTAGGCTACCTACAATATTTACACATGCTGTCTAGGACTGTATTTCCCCAAAGATCTACACAGAGGACCATCATTGGCATCACATTCCCACTGGTGAAAAGAGATGAGAACACACTCCTAATTGGAGTTCTCATTAATTGCTGTATATGTATGGCAGCTAGACATTGGCAGTCTGCTTAGCTAATGGTTGAAGCAAATAGAATACAAAAGACCCCCATCTCACTGCTGCACTGCTCTATTTGCTCTGCAGTGTGAAATGGAGTAAAAAACTTGCTCTTGTAATAAAATAAACGATTAACCATAATTTGAGTGAAAAGGTACTATTTTTGTGGACAATTTTTCAAACTGTATCCACACTTTGATTCACCTTTTGTCCTGAACAAAAATAAGAATACAAACTAAATATAAAATGAAATGACCACAATACAAAAAATCAGTCTGTTGATAAAGAGTCTTATTCAGCTGTCCACAGTTTGTTTTTCCAATGTGCTTAACTTTACTTATATGAACAACAGTAGGGAAGTCAAGTAAGCATATGCTGAAGTGATTTTATAGGTCATGACCTAAAGACTCAAATGCATTTATTATTATTAATATTATTACTTAGAATACATTAGCCCTCTGAAATTCTAGGCAGGGTTCTGGGACACACTGTGCAATGTACCATAACATTGTAAAAATACACTCTCTTCCCCAGAGAACATACAATCTAGATCAGTACACCCCATGCCACAGCAATAAAGTCAACAGAGGTGTAAGTAAGGGCAGAAGTTGTCCGTTTTTGATTATCTAACTTTGTACATACCAGACTTGTGTGCTCAGAAATAATTGCTCATACTTTCTAATGGGTGTGTGCAAAAGTGTATATGTACTTTTTCGTATGTACCACAGAAGGACAATAATCCCTGTATGTCAGGATTTGCACAGACACACACAGTTTTGTGCATCACTCTGAACATCTGGGCCTTTACAGCACTTAAGCATATGCTTAAGTTTAAGTATGTTGGTGGCCTTGTTGAATTCAGTGGGACAGTTAAGCATGGGTACAATTGTTTACGGATCACAAAGTGTTCATTTTACTGTAGTTAATATTAGGAAAAGTAAAATAATTGTGTGTTATTCTGAACTATTGAAACTTTAAAATGGGGAAGAAAAAGTCGCAAAAGAAGTCAGTAATACACTGTTCAATTGTTTTAATATATTTTAAAACATGTTTAATAAAACATATTTTAAAAGTGCAATACCTGCAAGATAAACAGGTTTGATTCTTTATTATCCATTCATTTGTTGAGTGCAGTCAGGAACCATCAGCAAATGGTCATTTCCCACTGTCTTTCTTCAGGAGGGCAAAATTATTATTTATATCTCTTAAATTGTAGTACTAAACATTACAAATCAGTTGTGACAGCCATGTCTCTTTGAGCAGCTTGATAACATTTTAAAAACCTATATTTGGGTTCTTGAGAGCTGTTAATTAAATCTCAGCTATTCTACTATTTTATTGTTACTAGAGGCTATATGGCTTTTTATTTTCTTATGAAAAGATACCTGAGATGTGATTATGGATTTTGAAGTGGTTGGTTCCATTGCCATATGTTTTTAAGTCACTAGGTGCACCATTTTGAGGAGCTCACTTGTGACCTTGAATATATAAATTAATTGTTCTTTCTAGGTCAGTTTTAAACTCCTGTACACTGGGTAAGCATGAAACATGTGCATACTCCCATTATAGATTCTTGCATTATTTGTGTACACAAATGGGTCTTGGTGCATGCAGACAAATAATTAGATGTGCTATTACCTAATTATGCATTTGCACACACAATTATGTGTTTGTGTGTGTGGATGCCATGTTTTTTTTTGTGACCCAAGCTGTGACAATGTGGATTTCAGAGGTTTATTCTCCTCTTTTCCTCTTCCTGTGTGAATCTAACTTCCATTAATATCAATGCACATTTACAGTGGGGAAACAGAGCCTGCAAAATTAGAAGTGAAATCTATGTGTTGATACACCGTGTAGCTACTTAAAGAAACAAGTGAAGTGCAATTTTTTTTCATTTAATTTACTGTGCCCCACCCCTTCTGGGATTTTGCTTCGTGAGTGTGGCACTGCAAGTGTGATTAAAGTTTATAGGCCTCCACAATTCCAGCATAAACCTTACTGGTAAATACAGGCCTTAATGGTTTTTGCATGGGCTAGAACTAAATTCTCAAGCAGAACATATCATCGCAGCTCCTTACGGTGCATGGCCAGGACAAAGAAGTTAATAAAATAATATAAAACTTAAAGTCCATCAGACAGAAAAAAAAATGCATTTTTACCTGTGGACTATTCCTATAGAAATTCTGAGTGTCTTACACTTGTCTTTTTCTTCCTCTAGACAACACCGCATCTGTGCTAACCAGGAGAAATGGATTCCGGAGACAGGAACAGGCTGTTTTCTACTTGCCAGTATTCATTGTGGACAGTGGCTCGCCCTCACTTAGTAGTACCAATACCCTCACTATCAGAGTGTGTGACTGTGATGCCGACGGCAGAGCCCAAACATGCAATGCAGAGGCATACGTCTTGCCTGCAGGACTTAGCACTGGTGCACTTATAGCAATACTTGCTTGCGTCCTGACATTATTAGGTATGTCCTTGGTGTTTTGTTCATTTACACCCCAAGTACAGTACAACAACCAAACAAACAAAGCCCCCGCATCTCGTTTATTGTTTATCCTCAGTTTTCTTTAGGGAAGAAAAGCTAATAATCCAGCAACAGAGGCATTTTATAGAATGTAGGTAAATAATGTCAAAGGTAATCTGCCAGAAAGTAATGGTAGAAGGAATAATATCAGTTGCAGCTGATATAATAGTTATAGATAGACATTGCAGGTGAAAAAGTGGATTTATGAACATCTCTCTCGTTGAACATAATATAGCTGGTAGCGTTCACATTACTTACTGAGTATATAATATGCACATTTATAAACAGTTTGTTTCTTTTAAGGATATTCATTTATAACATTTAATGATTTGCAAAGAGCAAAAGACTTACAGCAAATGTCACAAATGAATTTATTGATGAGAATTAGCATATTTAATTGAGTAGCATTTGTATGACGTCCTTTTGTTATACCTGCAGCTGTTAGCACAGTTGCATTTTACATTCTGTGTGAAAACTGAAACTAGAGACGGGAGGGAGAAAAGGTGATTTGGAAATTGTGAAATCACGCTAGAAGCTTAGTTGTATCAGGATTTCTCACTTCCCTGTGGAGACTAAAGTGAAATTGACTAGGCGGTGACAGTATTAAAAACTCAAGATTGTGGAGCAGAAAAGGGAACCAAGGAGCTTCCCTAATCTTTTCACACCCAGTGCAAGATTCTGGTGCAGTCAGCGTCCCAGTGTTGCTTGAGGCCCCAGCTGAGCACATGCTTAAGTGCTTTCCTGGATCAAGGCTTGTATGAGTACTCTTGGTGAGCGTATCATCCCAAAAGGAGTGGGGAGATTGTAATGTCCACAGTTCGGTATCGTAGCCACAGAGGTAGCTAAAATACAGAATCAGTTTAGGTGGTTCCCACCAATAGGCGTTTACTGTAGTTTCCTCCACTGTGTGTACAACAACTGGATCCGGCAGTGTCCCCTTCCTGCTGTTGGCTACTTCGAAGTCTCTAAGTGCAGTCCATTGCCTCTCCTTCCCTGCAGGAGCCTGCATAGTGAATTAGGCGCATTGGTGGAGAGCAGGCCACACCTCCCCAAATAATGCCTTGTCCCTCCCTGAGACATCATTTCTTCTGGTACTCTGCACTGCCCAGACAGGCTCAAAACTAATAGGCAGAGACTGCCTGGATCACTGTTAACGGAACAATAAAACAACAAGAGTATTGAGAACCCAGTCAATTTACACAGTGGTTGTACACAGGTTGCAGTGTTTCCTGTTTCTGGTGTTTTAAGCCTGTGATGGGCAAAGTACGGAGCTTTTCAAATTTGTTCTTTACTCATTTTGCTGCACTTAATTTGCTCCTTCAATACTTAATAACAGTTTGTAAGGTTAATAAGGTTAAAAATGGAATGGAGCCATGTGAAAAAAAAATATTACTGCCCTGATCATCAGCACAACTAAAGAAAGTTCCTGAACACATACATGCCCTCCCATATTTACACATTTGGATCAGTGACTAAGGGCCAGATCCTTATCTGGTATAAATTGGCATTGCTTGGTTGAAGTCTACAGGGTGGCGCAAGTTTGGCCCAAAGTGATGTACAGAAATACAATTTCTGTACTCATAGAAAGTCACTCACCCAGCACTCTCATACCATCATTTCTGGCATATAAAGAAATGAGACGGTTATTTTCAAAGTCCTGTAAAAACATACCATGGTTTACAGGCTTGTTTGTGTGTGTGTGTGTGTGTGTGTATTTCTTAAACAGGAGACAATGTTTCTCAGGGAAGATATTCAGTAGAGACCCAACTTATTAGTTGTCAAGTTACCAGGTAGTAACTTGTTTATTCTATTCAGTGCAACAGCGTTGGAATGCAGCAGATAACTCATTAGGGAGGGAGAAATTATCAGCAGATAACTGATTTAACTGGGAATTGGTCCTGCTTCGAGCAGGGGGTTGGACTAGATGACCTTCTGGGGTCCCTTCCAACCCTGATATTCTATGATTCTATGATACATGGCACCACAGTGCTGCTTCTCATCTCTTTGAGACTGTTCACAAGCACTGGCAAAGAGAAGAGGAGAGGATCTCAGAACATATTATCTAAATAATTTGTTCTGCAGCATATGAGGGACATGTCTGCTTGCTGCTTGGCTGTTGATGTTAGGTGTCAGAAGAATTGACATTCACTACATTTTGTGGGGTTTCAAAACTGGCCTCTGAATATCCCCACAAAGCTCACTTTTACTTGTCTGAATTGACATTTGCATGGCTGAGCCCCTTACCATTTTCTGCCTACAAAGTCACATTTGGATGCTTACATGCAAAGCTGCCGGTGCATGTTAAACAGCTGGCATTGAAGTTGTCCTCTAGTGAATGCCAGAATTAGAGCCTCAAAGTAGAGAGGCCAGAGGGGTGAGCTTTCCCCGCCCCTAATCTGACTGATGAAGATTGATTTCTAAACTCCGTTCCACAAGAAAGTTCCAATAGTCAGTCGATTACTTAGAAAAGCTGCACAGTATCAACTCTGCAGCAGAGCTGTTGTTTTCAACAAAAACATGGCTGTTATTTATGCTATGAAAATACATATGAAAAGTACTATGCTGGGTGTCATTCACTTTATACTGTATATAATACTATATACTGTATATTATAATAATATAATATACTGTATATAATTCTTTTAAGAAATAAGAGAGGAAATCTTTAACTCCTTTGAAAATTATATGGTAACTTCATTCAGTGTAATTTATTTTTCAGTTAACATCTCACAGATGCAATAATAAGTGTTTTTAGAATAAGCATTTAACATAGTGTGTAACTGCAATTTTATTATATGTAAAAACTCACAAAAAGAAGTATTTGCATGTAAAGTTACATATAACTTATTTCCACAGCTCAGGAATTTCCATTACATTGAAACATCAGGTAGAATCAGAAATCTGGTTAGTAATGTGCTTTCCCTATTGGTAGTTCCATACTTGAAATGGTAACCCACCGTCAGCACCCACTTTCCTATCCCATTCTAAAAAAAGGTCTTTGCACCTCATTGTATACACTTCTATATGCTATAGTATATAATAATACAATGATTAAACTTCCAAAAGTAGATTTAAAAATTAAAATAAAAGTAGATACAAATTGTTTATTAATTGTTAATATTATTGTACCACGAATGAGTCCTAATGAGTTCAGGGACTCTGTGCAATTTTGGTACAAATACATTGTAAGACACAGTCCCTGTCCTAAAGAGCTTACATTCTAAATAAAAGATGGACACAGGATGTGAAACTGACTCAGAGATTATGGCCTGTATTTCTTTAAGTAAATGGTGTTTTGGGGTGAGTCAATATTGGGATACCCAACCTGAGATACCTTGAAGGGGGGCTGATTTTCAGATGGTGCTAAGAACCTGCACTCTGAAAATCATCCCCTGCTAAAATCTCTCAAATTGGGCATACAACATTACCAGTCACTTTTGAAAATTTAAACCAGGTTGATTTACTCAAGGTCACCCAGAAAACCTGTGCAGATCTGGGAACAGATCTCCTACTCCCAATCTGCTTTAACCACAAGACCTATCTGATTGCACTAGCCATGAGAGTGTATGAATTAGAAGGCTACTGAGGCATTTCTTAGATGGTGGAAGATACCCAGCCTTTAGCTTCAGGGTTCATAACACATCCAAGGCATGAACCAATAGTTTACTAATTCAAAGCCTGATGTGGTTTATTGCTATATTAGAGAATATGCTTAAGGGACTGTTGCATGGCAATGGGTATTAGCTGTATGACATTCTTTATAGCCGTGTTTGTGGTCCTCTCTTCCGGGTTGTCTTTTGGCTATTATTACATCTTTACAATGATGCAGCAATTGCCTTGAGTACAAAATGAAAGTCTAGAACAAAAACAGAGACAGGGAGACATGCTGGGTGACAGCCTACTAAGATAAGTGGGAACTTCAAATTTACACACATTGCACAATGGCTTTGAGAGGCAGTAACTTCAACAGGAATATACTTGGGACTGGTCTACACACAGTTTTTGCATTGACTGAACTGTATTTGTTCAGAAACAGCTTAAGGTAAATGGTTACAACCCTTCCTATGGTTGCAGTGACAGAAAGGTGTTAATTATTGGCATAGCTGATTTTGACAAAATGTATCTAAACAAGCTGTGCTGATATAAATACATTTATATCTGTATAACTGCATCCACATAAGGGCATTGTAATGATTTAACTCAATTGCTTTTTTCTACCAAGCTAGTTAAATTGGTACAAAATCTGAGTGTAGTCCCAGCCATTAGTTGTTCTGTTTGTTCATGGATTAGTTGTTTGTAACAAATGGTATTAGGTGTTTTGCTTATTAAATATAACAACCAGTGATGTTATTGTCTGTGTGGTTGTTTAGAGTTAATATGTATACCTAATGCTTGCACTATACTTTTATTTCCATTGTACAATCTATAAAATTAGCTTTTTTAGTCATTCAGTCAGGCACTCTTTACCGCCTTGATCACTGGTTCTGTGACGAACATGGGAAGGGAAATAGGCCGTAATGGGAAATAGACTACATTTAAAATCAGACGTGCTTGCTTTAGGTACCACAGATATTTAGTTTTGGCCTGTAATAATCTCCACAGTCCCTGCAATGCAGCTAAGGCTTTGTTCATTTAGAGGTTAAATGTTATTGTTCATAGCTGCTGGAGTAGTTAGAAATTAATAATCTCTTCAAGCCATCTAAATGCTAAAATGTTTAACCTTTTGAAAGACTTCATATTTTTCTTGGCTTCAAGCAAGAGTGGGATGTACAAGGCATACTACATAAAACATTCATTTTATCTTGATTTTTATTGTACCTCTAGGCAGGCGTATCTACTAAGTTTCATATTTTTCACTTATTAGCAGGTATTTAAATCTCAAAATGAAGTCTGCTCAGCATGACAGGAGTGTGAAAACACATTTACACTTGACTAAAGGAAGTGATTAGATGCTTGCTACATGGCAATAAAAATTGTCACACTGACATGGTAAAAAATATAAAAGAAGAACTAAAAGATGAAGAAAACCCTTAGTTCTGTCTATAGTGATCTTAAATTAAATCACAAATTTATCACTGTTAGCAATGTAATTTGTCTTTCATTTAAAAATATCACTTTTAGTAAGAAAACCTGTTAAGAGTGAAATTTAACCATTGCATGTAGTAGATAGATAGATAGATAGATAGATAGATAGATAGATAGATAGATAGATAGATGGGGGGAGAGACAGTGTACATATTATGTTCACCATACTATAATTTACAACAAAACAGATTCTGCTAATACAAAAATGTTTGGCAACTACTCTAAATCCCTTTTAAAGGTCAAACTCCTAATATTTCAGACTTATGTAAACGTGGCTCCGAATAGTGTTTGCCAAACCATTGCCGCCTCAAAGTAACGTGTGTCTTTCTTGTGCCAGTAGATGTCATGCAAAAAATATAGGCTGGTGCCACAATAATTCACAATCACAAGGCATCTGCTAATAGATGGATCATTAGATGCATGCCCTGTAGCTATTACATGAAAAATAATGCATTGCTTACTATATTTGTCAAAAAGAGAAAACTTCAGGAAAAAAACTTGTTTCAGTCTTACTTTTAGAAGGCACAGAAGGTGCCCAGGAAGGAACTGCAAAGACCGGTCTTCGAAGTCTGATTATGCTGTAGGCCAATTTGACACTGGGCTGGAAAAGCTACATAAGGAGGATGGTGTGGTACTTCTAAACAGAAAAGAAGTCTGAATGGCTTTGAGTTGCTTAGGTATTTTTACCACCTGACCCACATCTTAAATTATGCCCTGTGTGTAGCTTTACTTCTTGGTAGAAAATACCTCCCTGAAAAGATGTTCTTATGAGGATGATGTACTGCACTGATGTCACACATGAGAATACTTGGGGAGAGTTCACGTAGTTGGGGAGTGTCCCAAGGTAGTTATTTATGTATTTAATGCCCATAATTTGTCTTTGGGTTAATGGTATCTAATTTATATTTCATTATGTAGTTGCTCAATTCAACTGCTCTTATTATTGTGGTATGCCCTAATATCGCTATATGTCTGGTTGTGCTTCTGTTTATATTATAAAACCTTATGTTCAGTGTTTTGCATTCTGAAACAAAAGTTCAGTCCATGAAGAAGCATGGCATGCAAAGAATCAGCCCAAAGGAGAACTGAGTTCCTTTAAACCAAAACTGATCTAAATTAGCTTTCAGGAACTTTTCCCTTTAAGAAGTCTGTGTAACATCCAGCAGAAGTACGTGAGTGCTATGGGTTGAAGGATATAACCCTGGATCATGCATTTTTTTACAAAAATATATTCTTAGGATAGTTTAAAAATAGCACCAAGGCACAATGCTATGAGATAGGGTGGAAGAGCAGCTTTACCACCGAATGTCTTCTGATTTTTACAACCTTAAGTATACATTATAGCTCCCACTAATCCCATCAAAGTTATTCAGAGGCTTAAAACGTTAAAATAAAAAAATCATTTTTAGGAGGATAAGTAACAGTCTGTCATGTTTCAGACATGAATGTAGTATTCACATTAATCCCTTCAAATTATGTTTATGAATAGTACCTGTTTGTTTACCGAAAACATATTTAAACTGTAAATGACTGCAAGTATATTACATGCCTGGAGTGAATCCCCTCCTTATACTTTGGCTAAGTCTCTATAAATTAATCTTGGCTTTTAAGCTGAAAAAAAGAAACCCGAAGTATCAGAATTTTTTAAATCATTACTTTAGGGGTTGATCCAGTAAACGCACGCAGCCTTAGCAATTCTCATCAGATATTCACAGGCACCAACTATGGTATTTTGCACATTAAAGCAAAGTGCAGTCTAATACAGAGATGCTTTTAGTCCATGAAGTCAGGCTTATATTAGACATTATTTAATAACTCAGAGTTTCCCAATCAAGGAACAGGTATTTTATCAGTGAACCTATGGTGGCATATTTTAATTCAATCCCTTCCCAAACTACGGTTGTTAAAATCCATGCGGTATCTTTATGAATGCGCTTTTACCACTTGGGCAATTAGGAGTTCAGAAAAAGGTCTCTTTTTTCATTTTGTGGCTGTACGATTGTAATAATCAGCCTCAATTGGCTCTTAAATTTATGTTTAGCAGATAGCGTGGGATATAGCAATAAAGATGAAGACATTAAGTCAGAATTACTCTGGAAATATATTCTGTAATATCTAAAAGGTCTTTGTTTAAAAGCCATTTTAGAACCTACTAGTGATTCAAAATCTGACTGCATGATGTGGGCATTGTGTTCCTTGGATAAGGAAAGGATCTGTGTGGTGTAAACTGAGGAATAGTTCCTCTACTGGGAAAGATCTGAGTGGAGGATAAATTCAAACTTCATCATCACTAAAACTTTGGTCTTTTGTGTTCCAGTGCTGGTCTTGCTGATTGTCACCATGAGACGGCGGAAAAAAGAGCCACTAATTTTTGATGAGGAGAGAGATATCAGGGAAAACATAGTCAGATATGATGATGAGGGTGGCGGAGAAGAAGACACGGAGGCTTTTGATATGGCTGCCTTGAGAAACCTCAACATCATCCGAGACACCAAGACCAGAAGGGATGTGACTCCCGAGATTCAGTTCTTGAGCAGACCAACTTTTAAAAGTATCCCAGATAATGTCATTTTTAGGGAATTTATCTGGGAGAGACTAAAAGAGGCTGATGTGGATCCCTGTGCCCCGCCATATGATTCCTTGCAGACGTATGCCTTTGAGGGAAGTGGCTCAGTGGCTGAGTCACTCAGCTCTTTAGATTCCATCAGTTCAAACTCTGATCAGAATTACGATTACCTCAGCGACTGGGGGCCTCGTTTTAAACGACTCGCGGATATGTACGGAACTGGCCCTGACAGCTTGTACTCATAGCCTTGGAACCTTTCTGTGTAAATGCACCGAAGAAAAACAAAAACAAAAACTTAACATCTGGACAAAGGCAAGTTGTAAATATTTCTCCATTTTTAACCTTTTAGGTTTTTTTGCCTTGGTGAAGCATATTTTCATTAGACTTGTCCTAGGGACTGCACTGACCACACGCAGATCCTGAGCATTTGATGGCATTTTTGATAAAATGAGACGCTCAGCCATATCCAAATAGATAGCAACCCTTATATACCTGCAGAGGCAACTAACTTCTAAGAGTAGTGCACTGTGACTTCAATGAGCCAATGATACCCTAGAGATGCCTTCACAGTACTGCCATGTCTAGACTGTAAAGTCTCTAATAAGGGATAAGTAGAAGAGGAAACAAACAAAACACAATATCCCATTCAAAACAGTCTTACAATATTGTAGTTTTCTGATTTAAAAAAAAAAAAACTGTTGGCAAATTTTATTTACAGTGTTGCATGCAGCTTGCTTGCTCAAAAAACTCCAAACAAACAAAAGACAAAAAAAACAAAAAACCCAGCAGAATATTTTTATTGGTGGCGATGGTGGTGACGAGAGCTATTTAATTAGAAATCTCTGTAAATACCTAGGTTATCAAAACAAACAAAAATAATTGCAAACCATGCTAAGAAAACCTGCAATATTTGTCATCGTCTTACTGAAATAATTTACAATCCCCATAAAATAAAAAATATGGAAAGGGATTCTTAACGTTGAAAATGGGCTTGTGATGCCTGTGTAGGTACGCAAAAAGTTGCTGTCTATTTGTTATTTTTTATTGTCTCTTCTGATTTGTACAGGAGAATTTATCTTTTGTTTCTTTTTTTAATTTAACATAGAGAGTTATATTTATTTTGGAGCTCCAGTCTCCACTAAATTCAGGTCCATTTTACTGCCTCATGGTATTACACGCGTCAGAACATGCTGATTTTTCTCCAGTCTCAGATACGTGAAGGAAATGAAGCATGGAAATGGAGAAATTACAGTACAGCAATCGAGCCCGCCATTCATCTCTCAAAAAGGAGCACAGCTACAAGGACACACAGTCATTCTTCTGAGCTATTACCATGTCTGAGACATTTGAATAAAATATTTGTACATTGCATTTTCGAAAGAAGACTCAGAGGTAGTTGGGAGTGTCTTTAGTGCGAGATTTAGTTTTCAAGGTCACATGTCCTATGCGCTTGGAAGACTTTAAAGACCGTGGTTTTTTCTCCCCTTCTCTTTTGCTGTTAATGAATCACAGTGAAAGACTGTTTAAAATTTCTTTCATATGTTAAGCAATGTAATGCTATAAACTCCAGAATCCATCTTTTGATCCTGATTCACATAAATATTTTCCCCAGAGGAATTAACTTCACAACACATAATTTCTACACTGATTCAGGAGTGCCAAAATAGAAGGACAATTGCAGTAGGTTAAAATATTGTACAATTTTGAAGTAGGGTTTCCTAGAATAAGACTTTTTTTTATAATTCTGACAATATTTATACTTCATCTTTCATGATTTATTATTAGAAAATAAGGCATATATTCAAGTAGTAATAATGTTTTCTTTTAATATTCTTTCCATTTTTTTTCTTTTTGAAGCATATGTAGATGAGTTCCTAAATAAGGCCCTGATTTTACAAACATTATTCATGTGTTAAATTTCAGTGACTTGACTTTGCTAGGACTTCAGCATAAGTGTTGAAGGGTCGGGGCCGAAGTATGCCACGAGTAGTTCACTCTGAAAGTGCTTCTTTCTGAAAAGAGGAGCCTTACAGTGAAATCCTAATGTGTGGATGCACATGGGGGTGGGGGAAGATATCCTTAAGGCTTTGTAATTCTTGCAATCCAGCATTATCAATTAACTATGTGAAAGTGGCCTTCAGCCTCATTAAAAACATAATTTTGATTATCTGCAACAAATTTATTTAATTTGGATAACGTTTTTGTAGACAATCATTGCTTCATGATTGAGTAGATTTGCTTATAGTTGTATTAAATCTATATATATATATATAGATATATATATAGAGAGAGAGATAGATAAATAGCTAGATAGATGACCGATTTTGTAATGGAATTGAAAGATATTACCCATGACTTTTAGTCACATATGTAAGATTTTCAATAAAAGAAAGTGAAAAAAGTATCAAGCGTATGCAGTTCAATAAAAGTAAGGTGTTATGTTGGTGTTAAATCAGCAAAGTGCTGGGAGAACAATTTTATAATAATCTCCTTGTTGGTGGGAAGATAAAATAATTCATGCATTTGGATTATGAAGTCAAAAGTGCTGATTTTAGCACATATCACTCAAAGGAGATTTCAGTGTTATTTAAGTAAACAGCAGAACTGCCTTGCTTTTTTCCGGTTTTATATTTATAAAAAAAAAGTATATCCCCTTTCTCATAAAAATGTGTCAGCTTTGCCTTGCATTTGCTATGGGAAGAAATCCGTTCCACTTTATTTAATGCATTGAAAATTCTTGCATGTATCCATTTTCCATTACACAATTTGAAGATGATCCTGAAACTCTGTTGTTACACTACACACATTTGTCTGTTGGGTATAAAAAGTATTATATTTAAAAAATCTCTAATGTTTGATGAGAGATATTACTATAGTACATATAATGCAATTTTTAAAAGGACTTTTCACAGCGTATCACAATTATGGTGTTTCATATTTTTTCATTGGATTAAAATTCTTTATTTTAGGGGGGTTTGTTGTTGTTGTTCTGGGGCCTAATGTTGAAAGCCTTATTAAAGACTAAGTGGCTGACTAACTATAAGATCTTAAGAATGGCTAAAATGGATCAGACCAATGGTCCATCTAGCTCAGTATCCTGTCTTCTGACAGTGACTGGAGCCAGATGCTTCAGTGGGCATGAATAGAAGAGGGCAATTCCGAGTGACCCATCCCCTGGCATCCAGTCCCAGCTTCTGGCAGTTGGAAGTTTAGGGCATCCGGAACATGGAGTTGAATCCCTAACCATCTTGGCTAATAGCCATTGATGGACCTATCCTCCATAAACTTATCTAATTTTTTTTCTAACCTGGTTATACATCTGGCCTTCATGACATCCCAGATTGACTTGTGTGAAGAAATACTTCTTTTTGTTTTTTTTAAACCTGCTGCCTATAATTTTATTGGTTGACCCCTGGTTCTTGTGTTATGTGAAAGGCTAAATAACATTTCCTTATTCATTTGCTCCTCACCATTCATGGTTTTCTAGACCTCTATTGTATCCCCAGCTTAATCATCTCTTTTCTAAGCTGAACAGTCCCAATCTTTTTAGTCTCTCCTCGTACAGAAGCTTTCCCATACCCCTATTCATTTTTGTTGCCCCTCTGTACTTTTCCAGTCCTAAACGGTGAAAGTAAATGGTGCTACTTCTTTTTGTGTGTCCCACAAGGACAATGGAACTTTCCTGAAGAGCTCTTTTGAACAGACTTTCCTTCACATTTTTTTTACAAAGTTTTCATGAAAATTTTGAAAATTTCTAACTAGCTCTTGTAGTTAATGAGAGTTCATTGAAGTCCTCATTTGGCAGAATATCAAACAATCTGCCACCCATAATTAAAATGTAACTCCTTCCTGTTTCCGCCAAGTCACAACTGAGTTGTATGGTGTGCATGTCTAGCTGAAATTCCCCGAGGCCTTTACAATTGTCTCGCAGGACTATTGATAAAGTCTGGGTAAACCTGTCACACTCAGGTGAGATTATGGGCCAGGATCTTCACTCTGGTATAAACATGTACATCCACTGTAATCAGTGGAGTTACTCTTGTGTAAAACTGATGTAATGGAGTGAGTAATCTGACCCTATGTTTCTTATTACCAAAGGAATAAGGTCAGTATCTACACAGCACTAATATTCAAGAGAGATCTCAGTCCTTCTTGAAATAAATGATCCCGTTAGATGGACTGATGTGATCACTCCAGTACTTTTACCAGGTGTCATGACATCAACTGTTACGAAAACAGATTATTAAGGATCGAAGATATTATTGCTTCTGTTGTGTTTGCTTTTTTTCACTGAGGCTTTTTTCTTCAAGGATTTCTCTCTTGAATCAATGTTTCCCTTCTAAATTACTTTTCTTTATTGATTTTCTGTGTATGCATACTTGTCAATATCAAAACGTTTCCCGTTCCTCGTTTCTTGTACAGATTATCGGTGAAACCATGTTGTGCAATATAAAATACCAATCACTTAAGTTTCCAAAGTACCCACCACTGGATGACACAAAGTCAAGTGGTATTTTCTGACATGGTCATCATGAAAAGCAAATACATTCCAAACCACACAGTTGTATGCACTTGTAAGAATACTGCAGAGCTGAAACGGGAACACACTGCTGTTGACTGTGGTTTCCAGCAAATCTATGATCAAATTCATGGTTGTAGCTGATCACATGGATGATTTTTTTATAGAGAGAGCACTTCTCCTTGAAGTGCTATGCCCATTTTAAAAATCTGTGGATAGTTATACTGATCTGAGGAATGCTAAGCAGCTTCACATTCACATCAGCACAGATAGCTGAAATAAGGATCACACATAAATGATACCTAACTGTAATATAGCACTTTTTCATCCATCCAGCTCAAAATGCTTTGCAAAAAGGAGTGAAACATCATCATCCCCATTTTACAGATGAGGAAAGTCAATGAAAGCTAGGAACAGAATGCAGGTCTGCTGAGTCCCAGTTCAGAGCCCTGGCCATGACATCACATCCCCTCCCACATTGTCCCATCTCGGCACATAGATCAGTCTTGCATATAAACAACTGTGTCTTAACTCAGATTCATCACAAGTGCAGCAGGAAACGTTCAGCACTGTTCACAAAAATGGTTTTAGGGATGGCTAATTGTCCTTGTGTTCTCTGAGCTACAAGAGTCAGAGATCACAACAGGAGTCTGTCTTATCCAGCATATCCTCTAATGGCTCAATTCGCTGTGTGAGACAAGCTTGCCAACCAGTGTGTGTAGTAAAGCACCCTGGCTAGGGAAAAATGTCATAGTTTAAATTACGTTTTGGCTTGCTAGGGAATCATTTTCTATAAGATGAGTGGGATACTTGAAAATACAGGAGAGGTGTTGCATGAAATCTGCAAACTCATAGATCATATTGTTACTGCCAGAAAACAACTGGACAAGTATTGCCTGAAGAAATCAACTTACCTAATTATTCTGAAGATTCTGCAACAAAAGAAAGGGATGTGTGGAAATCACAAGAAAGAACAAGTACAAAGTACTTCTATCAAGTGAAATCCTGTTGTCATTTTGACTAACATCTTCTGACTGTTTGTTCCAGCAGCCGTAATGATGATACATATAGGCCATGTGCTGCTCCTTGTGAGGTATCTCCACTTCCTCTTTGCAAACTGAATACCTGAACTGAAGAGAACACTGGAGAAACCTAGAGTACTAATATTGTAAACATAGATATTGCTCTCAATAAACTCTCAAATCAGTGGAACATTTGCTTCCAAGTAAAATATAGTAAAAATATTTCTTAATCTATGTATACAGATTGTTCTAAAGAACCGGAAGTCAATGGGGTCATGTATCATTATGCATTTTATCTTTATTCTCTTTAGATCCCAATAGGGAAAACACATCTCCTGCAATTAAATGTGCATTTAACCATCCCACACACCTTTTTTTTATGGAAAAGGACCCAGCGTCAGTGTGTATCCCAAAGAATCAGGTCAAAGAATCTTCCCTAAAACCATAGGCCATCCCTATGCATAATGGTGTGATAGCAGTGAAGAATAATCATTTACATGTGTTGGTGATTGTATCACAGGCCCACCCCAAAAATGCTATGATTGGCTTTGACGGGAAAATCTGGTATGCTTATAATATGTTTGACACAAATAAATTCAGGAAGTGTTGGAAATATTTCTGGAACTCCTATTCCCATGAGATTTATAGTCTATTTGTTGCATACCTGCCGTAGTCTCAAACTAAGAACACAGAGCAGTTCACTTTACTCACTACGACTGCGAAGTTCCTCTGAGATGGAATGGTTTAGCCATTCTACTTTACACGCAGCAACATGCCACAGTTTAAGTTACAAGAGAATTTTAAGCAGGAAGAAGCAACTGGGATTTTATTTGAACCCCATC